GGATATCCTTTTTGTTGATGATGAAGTTATTTCTTTCTGTTTCTTTGTTTTCCTTCTAATAGTCAGGCCCTCTGCTGCAGGACTGCTGTAGGTCCACTCCAGACCCTGCTTGCCTGGGGATCACCTGTGGGGAATGCAGGACAGTGAGGGTTGCTGCCAGTTTCTTCTTCTGTTATATTCTTCCCAGACGGTACCTGCCAGATGTCAGCCTGAGCTCTCCTTTACGAGGTGTCTCTTTGGGTATATGGGGGTTGGGGAGGTTTTTGAGGAGACAGTCTGTCCCTTATAGGAGCTGAAGTGCTGTGCTGGGAGCTCCGTTGTTCCATGCAGAGATGCTGGGCAGGTACTTTTAAGTCTGCTGCAGCAGAACTCATAGCCGCCTCTTTTCCCAACTGCTCTTTCCTAGGAAGGTCAGTTTTATTTATAAGTTTCTGTCATGCTGCTGCCTTTTTTCATAGATGCCTTGCCCCCATGGAGTAGTCTACTCACAGTCTGCCAGCAGAGGCATTGCTGAGCTGCTACAGGCTCTGCCCACCTGCTGTGTGAACTGCCTCAGTAGTGGCAGACTGCCTCAGTAGTGGGAAATGCCCTTACCCCCACTGAGCAGGACCATCCTGGGTATAGCTGTGCTTCCTGTGAAATTCTCAATCCAGACCGTTTCAGATTGCCTGTTTTGTGGGGGTGGTACCCACCAAGCCAGATCACCTGGCTCCCTGTCTCTGCCCCTCCCTTTCAGTTGAATGGGCGGCTCTGTCTCCTAAGCATTCCAGGCACCAGTTGAAATGGCTGCCCAGATTTATGTGAGTTTCTGTGCAGCAAGCCAGCACCAGCTGAAACCGCCATGCTGAAAACTCGTGGTGCTTTTTGACCCAGGAATCTCCTGGTCTGTGGGAAGTGAAAATTTGTTTGGAAATGCGGTGGGCACTCACTCTCTGCATTGTTCCTGCTGGGAACTGCCCTCCAGAGCTGTTCCTATCCAGCCATCTTGGATCTCTACCTATATGGTCAATTTTAGAATAGGTATGATGTGGTGCTGAGAAGAATGTATATTCTGTTGATTTGGGGTGGAGAGTTCTGTAGATATATGTTAGGTTCGCTTGATCCAGATCTGAGTTCAAGTCCTGGATATCCTTGTTAATTTTCTGTCTTTTTGATCTTGACAACAAGATGAGTGGGGTGTTAAAATCTCCCACTATTATTGTGTGGGAGTCTAATTCTCCTTGTAGGTCTCTAAGAACTTGCTTTATGAATCTGGGTGCTCAAAATGATCTCTGTCTTTGACTTTTGACAATTTAATTATTATGTGTCTTAGTGTGGATTTCTTTGGATTCATCCTATTGGGTCATTTCAGCTTCCTAGATCTGGATGTCCATTTCCTTTTTCAGATTTAGGGAGTTTTCAGCCATTATTTCTTTAAGTAAGATTCCTAGTCCTTCCTGTCTTCTCCTCTGACTCCCATAATGCATGTACTGGTCTGCTAATTAATGGTGTCCCATAATTTCTTTAAGCTATTTTAGCTTTTTATTCTTTTCTTTATACCCTCTGACTGGATAATGACAATCTGTGTTTGAGTCTGCTTATTATTTCTTCTGCTTGCTCTAGTCTGTCATTGAACTTCTCTATTGGATTTTTTATTTCAGTTACTATATTCTTCAGCTTTAAGACATCTGCCTATTCTTTTAAATTTTCTGTCTCTTTGTTGAAATTTTATTTTTGTTCATGGATTGTTCTCTTGATTTTGTTGAGCTTTTCCATGGTGTATATTTTGAATTGTTTGTTAGGCAATCCATATATTTTCACTTCATTAGAGTCAGTTTCTGGAATTTTAACTTGTTTCTTTGTTCGGATTTTGCTACCCTTTTTCTGCACATCATAAGAATCCACTACCTTTCTCAGTCATATGGATTGGCCTTTTACAGGAGAAGACATTCATCAGCCAACCAACCCAGAGCTTCTATGGGCTTTTTAAACCACTTTGCTAGTTTAAACTGCTTTCTTTGTTATTAGTGGCCCCCAGGCATCCAGAGTTTGTCCAGTCTTATCAATGCTCCTAGACAGGTGGCACCAAAGCCATTCTCTTGGTAGCTCCTGGAGAATTTAGAATGCTGGATGCATGTTCCAACCCTTTTCCTTCCCAGGGAGAATCTGGGAACTGGGATTTTTCCCCTACTCTGTGTTAAGCCAGATACAGAGCTGTGGTGCGTGCCAGCATGCTAGTTGAAATTGCCATTTTCTTCTCTGTAGCCCTCAGGATACTATGACATACCAGATACTTTCAACTCTGAAATAGGTGTGAAAGAAGCCAGTCTTTCAAGTGACACCTGGAAAAGTTGGTATTATATGTGCAGTCTGACTTCTCCCATTCTGAGGTAAAAGGTGGGACTGGGGGTTTCCTCCTGATCCTATGGAACTGTGCTGGGAGTTGGGATTATGATGAATGGATGTTCTGCTTTTTCTACAGATGTTTTGTTTACAATCTGGTTGGTTTCATACTCATCCAGGGTGCAGGAGCCTCTCTATGTGTTGCTGGGTTTCTCATAAAGGGAATTGATCCTTCTGCTGCAATTAAATCAGTGTATCCATTGGGGGAAAGAGGGTCCAGGGCTTCCTATTCTGCCATCTTGCTGATGTCACTTCTCTCCCTTATTATTTCATAAAACTATATGTGAATTTTTAATTGTCTCAAAGTAAAAGCTTAATTTGGTTGTTTAAAAGAACCTCAAGTTTGCTCAAGTCTAAAATGTCTCCTTCAGCTGAGATTTTTTTGCTGGTATCTTTACTCTTCCCAATTATGAGCATGTCTAGTCTTTTTAATGCCATCACATTACAGTGCTCTTGAGATCTTCCCACCTACTAGGCTAATATTTTCTTGGCACAAGGAAAACATTGGTAATCAATTACTTCAGCAAAACTAACCCATTTTTCCCCCCTCCCCTTGTTGTCTATTTGAGGTTCTGGTGTGGGATGTATAACCGCTTTGACAAAGGGCTGCAGCCCAAGCAGAGTATGCTAGAGAGCCTCCTGGAAATTAAGAAACAGAGAGCAATGCTGGAGACAGATGTGCATGAACTAGAAAAGGTGAGGAGAAAACTCCCAAAGAGAGATATTCTTGCCCCTTCTGGGTAGGTCCAGCCTGCTTGGACTTGAGTTAATACTTGTAGAAAGCTGCCTGGCTGGCTTTTCTATACTCTTTGGCTTTCCATGTGACCCATGTGTATAAAGCTTTGTGCATAACTCCTTTTGTTACTTCCCAAAATGTGGTAAATATGTCACTTAACTAGAAAAAAACAAGTGAATTTGTTCCCTTATCTTTTTTTGGATCTGGATGGAATGATTAGCAGGAACAAGAAGGAATGACAGAGAAATCACATAGCATTTGTTATCCATCAAGAGAATAAGCATAATATCTTGGGTATGCTGATAAGAACAGTGCAATTGCTGTCTTCCAATTAGGAAAATCTTATAAAAGAAGATTTGTATTATTTCCCATGTAGACTGCAAACTCTGCTTATTGAGTGACCATGTTGGACACAGGTCACAGAAGTCAAAAAGCATTTCTTGTTGATTTCATAAACTGAGCTGCTTATGAAATGTAGGGATCCCTAAAGGTTTGTTTGAAGGACAGGGAAAGGGTATCTCTTATAAAAGAATTATTGGAAATGGTGTGCTATTCAGGAACTGGGTGTGAACCCACTTTAAGCCAAATAAGGCATAGCTTTCCTGCTCCCTGTAAGTAAACAAATGTCATTTTATTGTGAAAATAAATGTGTTGTAATTATATCAGATCCCAAACATTTTAATGTCCTATTGGGAGGCAACAACTAGTTACTTGGTTCCATTTAAAAAAAAAAAATGGTTTGTGGGAACTGGGGGGGAACTAAAGCATAACTTAAAATCATAGAAAACATGCAACCCAGGAAGGCCCAGCCCTAAGTAGATTAGATGTAGTAGATAAACTTCTTCTTACGGCTCCTCTTTTAGCTACTAGCAGATTCTTCCACAAGGCCCTCAGGGAAGGTCCCCTATTCTAGACCCAGCCCTCTCACTTATCCCTGCCTGACTCCTGAGAAAGAATCAGATTCATTTCACATAGACTTAGATCACTCTGGAAAGGCTTCCTTTTGAAGTATGTATGTGTATTTATGTATGTGTTATTAACTTTCTTTTTTTAATACAGAGAAGAAAAACAAAAATGGCTTATAATATCACCCAGACAACCCTGTTGACTTTAAAAAAAAAAAAAAAAGGCAATATAGGTATAAAGTTAGAAAATACAGAATACAATAAGGTACAAAATGAAAAGTTTAAAAGACTCCCCCCACCACCTTCAGAAAAATGTGTGCATTCTACCCTCACTGATGTATGCATTTTTCTGAAGAGAAGATCCATAATTTTCATCAGGTTTTCAATGAGGCCTTATGACCCCAAAGAATCACTGTTGTAAAGTATCAGTCATATTATCTCAGAAAGTGAAAATATCTATTAGAAGTAGCATGAGGTAGGCAACAGGTCATAGACTTTGGCATTAGGCAGATGTAGGGTCAGATCCTAGTTCTTCACTTCCTGCATGTGTGAATTTGGGTGACTTACTTAAATTCTCTGAGCCTCAGTTTCTTCATCTGTAAATATAGCTAATACCTAAACTAATAGGTTTATTATAAGGATGAAGGGAAGTGCTGTATGTAAAGTGCCCAGCACATAGAGGTATTAAATAAATATTAGTGGTCTATTCCCTTGTCCTCTCCCCATCCCATGAACAAAATTGCACTTATCAGAAAAGAGGACTTTTATAGATATAAGACCTTTGAGATTCTTCAATGGTAGGGCTTCTAAAGTACTATGGCCTGTGATGAGGGAAAGATGTTGTGGGGGAGGAGGTGAGCAAAAGGCCATTTGCTACCATTATAAGTCACAGCAGCAGGACCTCTGCAGGTCAGGGTGATGTTTGCCTAGTTTTTTCTCCTGTTTATAATTCTTCTCAACCCTTTTTTGCTCCTGAGGCAGAAACTAAAAGCCCGTGATGAGCCACCAGAAGAGATCTGTACCTGCTCTCAATTAGGAAACTTACTATCCCAACATCTGGGAAGTCCTTTGACCAATCCTCTTGGCTTTATGGGTATTGATGGAGACCTGAATACCTTGATGGAGAATGGCACCCTCTCCAGGGAAGGAGGCCTCCGAGCTCAGATGGATCAAGTAAAAAGCCAGTGTGCAGACTTCCACCATGACTGTTGTGGGATTGTGGGCAGCCTTAGGGCCATAAATATCTATGGGGATGTGGGCATCTCTGGAGACAGAGGCATCTCTGGAGACATGAGTACCTCTGAGACTACAGAGTTCTCCAGAGACTTAGGAATCTCTGGGGCCATGGACATCTCTGAGGCCACGGGTATCTCTGGAAACATGGGTATTTCTGAGGCCAGGGGTTTATCTGGAGACCTGGGTTTCCCTGGGGATATGGGCATCTTGGGAGACACAGGCATCTCCAAGGCCAGCACCAATGAGGCAGACTACTCCAAGCAGCAGTGAATTAGTTACTCATCTGCTTCCATGCTAGGTACACCTACAGCAGCTACAATGATTATTGTCCCAGAGAGGGCTCTGCTACTTTTCCAATTGGTTTAAGTGGGTGAGGCCAGGGCACCCCTCTTCCCACTTAAGAGTCTAGAAGGAAATTACTTTACTGATTAAGTGACCAATATGTTCATATTAAGCAGTACAGAGTATAGCCAAGGCAAAGAATATGTTATTGTTCTAAAATGGGATTTAACTATAGAAATGTTGCCTCTCAGCTGAGACATGTATTAAACTGGTTCTACTATCTGTTTTCCTTAATGATTGACCTCCCCTATTTTCTACCCTCACTGATGTAATGTGAGAGTGAATGGAAGTATTTTCACAATGGTCAATAACGACCCATTTGAGGGGATGGAGAGATGGTATACACCAGGTAACTAAATTGCAGAATATATTAAAAGAAAATTTTACTTTCAGGTATTCTTAAGTCATGAGATGTTAGCTAACATTATTGCTAATGGAGACATACAATATTTCCCTGAGAAAGAAATCAAAATGATGCTTAATTGTTAGCATGAGTGCATGGGTGTTTGGTGGTTTGAAACATGTAAGGAAAGTTTTCTTAAGTTATGACACTTGCTCTCTCCAACCCACACCCCACCTAGGTCTTGTTATAATACTTAGCCAGTTCCCTTTTTCATAGATGGCTCATAGGTAAACTTGAATCCACTACAGTCTGAAATTATAAATTTCAAATTAATGAGTTTTGTATTAATAACATTGATTAATAGCATTCTCAGCATCGGTTCAGGAAGTAATTGAAAATCTTGGTGCTTCAGACTCAGACTGAGACATGGTCTATGTGCTTATCTGGGTTTTTGCAAAATACATCCCGTTTTGGGTCTTTTTATGAAGACAAGTGGTTTCCCTTATCTGGATATCACATGAGATTTTTGGATTTTTTTGGCACAATTGGCCCTACTTTTAAATCTGGTAGGTTTATCACCTTGTGCTAATGTACACTTTTGAATAAAGTCCATTCTGATAGCATATACAGATACTCCTGGGGAAAGAGATGTATTTTTATTTAAACATCAGATTTTCTCCTAGAGCTTGATATACTTGATGGGGTTTTCATCTTTCCTATTGGATATTTAGTCATGATTTTGCCACTTCCACATACTGAGAGTAGGATAGGCCTTGGTCAGTTTGGATCATGCTCTGTATATTCTCAGCAATTCCAGAACTCTTAATGCCAACAGAATACAGGTCCTCAACCAAAATGTCTTTTCCAAATACTCTATATTTGGCTTAAGCTAAAAAATTAGATGACTTAAAGAGGCATCTCTTGATTTTCACATCCAGTTGTGCACATAGAAATCTCTAGAGGATTTAGGTGCTTTCCTTCAAAAAATCTCTAAAGGCTTAGGTGCTTTTCTTTGAAAGAAAAGGGGTACTTTTTAAGGGTTTAATTTATGTGCAGGAGAGGAATACCAGGATAGCTCCTTGATTTCTTTTCCCTAGCTAAACTATTTACCCAAAACAACCTCTTTTGTGGAAGAACTCTAAATCATTTTGGTTGTCTTTTTTTAATATATAAATGGAGTCATTTTTCTGTTTATTTCCTCTTGGTAACTGTTTTAATTCTTTGTTTTTAAAGAACGCTTAATTTATTTGGAACTTTCCCATTAATAAATAGGGCCATATCTTACTTACATCTTTTTGATAGCTGCCTTGATCTTATAATTTTAAAGCATGAGGATGATTTCCTTTTGTATCTCTGTTGTCCTCCTCTTTCCATGATTTAGTCCTTACTTTATATAAACTAAATCATCATTTGACTTCTTTTGGAAAATAAAACAGGGTTTGTACACACCATTTTGATCTGGAAGTTACTTGTAATTCTGGCTTTGTGAAGGACGTTGCCAAAAAGGATGACGGTACCAATCTGCCACCAGTGAGCCATTCTGGAGCTTGCTCCCACACCTTTCTCCCATATCTCAATTTGTATTTTGCAGTCCATTAATTAGCATGATGTTCTGGATAGAGTGTGTTGAGTTTTCAGGGAAGAAAGTAAAAAGGTAAATGGTAAGACAGAGTAGTTTTTGCAAATAAAAAAAATTAAGCCTTAAATAATACCTAACCTTATTTCTTAGATCAAAAACAAAATAATAGTGAAAGGAAAGGCTTTTCAATGTAATTCTAAACTGAGAAGTGGTAAACCACAACCCTGGTATTTCCAAAAGTAAAAACAAAATTTTTAAAAGACTGTATTATTTTGTTAATTAAGGCCACGGGAGCAATTTCAGTCTCAAAATCTGTGAGGTCAGTTAGGTTGGTCTTCGATATTTTTACTCTCCAACATGTCCCATTATTGCTTGCATATAACAAATACAGAACTAAGAAAAAAAAAAGCTGCGTGAAAAACACCTATTTATTCTCAACACCCAACACCTTTTGGGTTTACAGTTGGATTTGAAAATCTGAGAGAAGAAAAAGATGGAATCCAGATATTTATACACTAGTAAAAGCAGAGTAGCTATCTGTAGGTAGGAGCTCAGCAATAGTGAGGAGACTTATGAAGGTAAGTTGGCAGGAGTACTAGAAAAGATGATCTATTAATGGCTTTCACTTCATACTCTGATATAACACCTATGCCGCAAAAGAAATATGACTCCCTACCCACACTGTCCTACCCTACCAGTTCCCCAAGCAGAAATTCCATTCTCATGTGACTGCTCTACTTAAATTGGAAGGCATTTAACCACCTGCCACTGTCATCCACTAATCTGACCTCTGCCTGCTTTCTACACAAGTTTCACAGGCCTGGGGTTACTGCTTATCTTTTCTAAACATGAGGCATGCTCTGTTTCTGTGCTTGTGGCCAGACTCAAATTCTACCATGGCCACTGTTTTAAAAATTCATTAATTATTTGCATAGTTGATGAAATGACAGATTTATCACAGTAATAAAACAATCTTAAATAACAAACTTAAATAACAGCTAACACTTTGACTTTTTAAAGAAGAAATTCACTAATAAGGCTTGCTCTATGAAAGAAAACCTGAAACTATATAGAACTAACCACAAGAATGTAAAGCTTATGGTGTATATATTAGACATATATATCTTTGGAAAGTAGCCTTAGAAATTATCTTCAATTACCAGCAAGTCAGTTGTCATTGCCTGCCAACATGCATGAAACACCTTTAGTCTGAGATAGCCCTCACACTTCACTAGAAGTGAGACCTTTCTCAGAATACTTCCAGCCAAAAGGAATCCAAATCTTTTTAAGAGGTGCTTTTCAAACCTAATTGGTAACTATTTAAGTTGGGTTTTAATTAAGTAGAAAGAGAAGTTTAATAACTAAAGATGATCGTGTTAGATCTTTGTTATATACTGGCTTTTATTAAACACCCAACTTTTCTTGATGCTAATTAGGCTTTGATATACTTTTGGCAAATCTCTCTGTGAGAGTATTTTATTAAGTGTCCTTTTTTCTAAACAATTGTTTAGGGAAATGTAAATTACCTTTATGTTAAAATACCTCTCTCAAAAGGGGTTTACTATACTCCAGATTGGTTTATACCTAGGAAGATAATTCTCACCTTCTCTATTAATTCCCAATGTGTATAATTTAGTGATATCTAAACCAAATCTTTACCCCACCTTCAGGCTTCTCACTCTCAGAATTCTATGTATTATACAGGCAGATTCTCCAACCAAATCTGGTTGCTTTATTCTGAGTGCCAAATCTACACCTGCTTTTTGATACAGACATTTAAAAACAAACAAAAATACATGGCTTAAGCCTTACATGTTATTCCTATGGTTTTTTTGTTTGTTTGTTTTTGTTTTAATATACTGTGAAGAAACGGTTGGGCCATCAGGCAATACCAAACAGACAGAGGGAAAGATGTTAGGTCATAAACGACTCTTGTTTTCTTGTCCTTTTAAAGGCGGTTGTGATTTCAAAGTATGTGATGGTAGCATAGAAACTTTTCCAAAGAAAAAAGAAAAAGAAAATCTGCTTTTCAAGCCCTATAGAACATGTCTTCTCTGATTCCCTGGCTGTGGGACTGACAGTCTTTCCCTTACTTTTAAATAGGAAGTACTAGTATTGTCATGAGCCTTGGCAGCTCATGTCTCCTTTACATGTCAATGCAAGTAAAAGCATGTTACATTCTCTACGATTTGTGACTTGTTTTCACAAAAGACAAGTGTGCTTTGAAAGCAGCTGTCTCATTTAGATCCATGGGTCTTGCAGGAACTGAGAAGTTGGCATGCTAAGTCTGGTGCCCTGTCCCTGGGTGCTTTTTAAAGCATTGGGGGTAACTTAAAAGCCTTTTTCTCTTCCAAAGCTTTATTAACCTTTCAACCATTTTCATGGCTTCGTACTCTGACTTTTTAGAGGGCCCTACACCAGCCCTAACAGAATCCTAGTTGTAGAAAAAGAGGTGGGAAAGGTGAAGGGAAGAGAGTAATAAAGAAATACACCTGGCCAGTTCAATAAAAAGTGTATACTTATTCATGATTACCAGCATTCCAGTTATTTAAAATTTCATGTGCTCCTTGAGATTAAATTGTTCATAATAAGGTCCAAAAGTCTTCTTTTCCAAGTGGTACTGAGAGTAATCTATTTTCTTTTTAAGGCTTTTACACTGGTAGAAACTCTTTCCTTAAGAATGCTATGAGTTTTGTATTTTCGTTGTCAACACTTTTCTCTGTTATGATATGTAGTCCTGGGTTTTCTTTTATTTTTAGAGAGTTAAGGCTGATGGGTGGTATTCTCTCCCCTTAGTATGTCCCTGAGGCAGACCAGTCCTTAGCCCTCTTTTTGCTTCTTGTGCTGAAGCATCATTGGATTTCTCACCAGTCAGATGAGAAACATACACCAAAGTCATAGATAATCACTGTTCAAACACCCATGTCCTCTGGTCCCACTTCACATGCATTTGGCCATACCAGTTCACATACAGTGCCTCCAAGTCTCCACCTCACTTGCATTTGCAGACAGGGTGATTTATTTCGTGAATGCCAGTGAGAAGCAGAGCACATATACTGCTTCTGAAACAGAGCATGTTGTATATTCTACTTTGACAATGCCTCTGGCTTAGGAACAGCTAACAAGTTCAGTCCTTTCAGAATATAGCTCATGGTACAGCTCTGTGTGTGTGTGTGTGTGTGTGTGTGTGTGTGTGTGTGTGTGTGTGTGTGTTTACTGGAACTTTAGTAGCATCTGGTCTCATAGATTATTTGGGCATTCAGATGAAAAGGATTTGTCCAAGAATTTAGAAACTCTATTACTGCAAAGCTTCTTACTTTCATATTGTCTAGCTAAGTTTAATGAGAACTTTGAGATATGCCAAGCCAGAGATACAAACCAAAGTGAAGCAATTGGCCTTTTCTCTGGGATATATTATCAGGCAACTTTAAAAGTGAGATTTAAGTATATGACCAGTGTTATCTGTAATATGTTAATGTCACCCACATACCTGCATGAAGAACATGCAACTGATGTATAATTCAGAATTGAACTATATAGATTCTTTGAGAACCTTTTTATTAGCTCCAGGTTTGCAGACTAACACTGTCACAGCAGCTCAAATCCGAACTTGCCAAGGTACAACAGTGTGAATGATTGACTTTAATTCCCTATCATACGTTATCTTGAGTGTTCCACACCACTGAGGCATGGATGTATGACCAAGTGAAGATGTTCACTGCCAGTTGTTTTGTCCAGTGCCACAGATGCTCACTGGCCCTCTACTGCAGTTGTGTTACAGTTTGTAAATGTTTGGATGATACAGTGTTTTTTTGTCCAAAATTAAAAACCTTCAGTCTTTTGCATGTGTGAAGTTGTTGTGTATTAGCTACAAATAAAAGAAAAGACGGCATACCTCCAAAAATGGTACACTGACCTAGCCTCAACAGATGAACCACCTTATAAAGACAGAATCTGCAGATAGGTTAAAATATTCTCTGTTGATGTTAAAATAAAACAAGAAAGGTATCAGGGCACCTGGTTCTTAAAAGCACTGCCATTGACCAGCTGTGAGGGCAAGACTGACACCAACTTAACTCATAAAAGAGTGCTGACAGTATACCAGTTAGTTTATTCACATTGGGGACAGACCTGTTCAGGGACCAAGCTCTTCCTCCCCTTCCAGGGCCTTCTCTCCTGCCCTGGCCGCCTCCTCTCCCAGCAAGAATTCCCACTCATGAACTTGGGGGTTATTTCCTCCAGGCCTCAAAAGAGCCTCCCTCTCTGGGGACCACATGATCAGGGCCTCCAGTGAGTGGAATACAGAGAGACCTGGGATCTAGTCCTGGCTCTGCTAGTCCGGTGGCTTTGGGCAAGTCATTTTCTCTCTCTCAGCCTCAGAGGTCACATCTATAAAATGGGAATGATAATTGTACCTACCACACAGGGTCATTGTGCAATTTAACAGAGCTAACATGTAAAGTATTACTTGGTAAAGTCCCTGGCACATAATAAAAAAGTCAAAAAGCATTAGTCAGCCTCCTCCTACATTCACCCTCGATGCTGCTGATTACACTGACAAGTTCTTACACTTATGCTTTCTTTTTCAACTCCATTCAGCCCCTTCCTACTCTTGACATATTGTCTTTATACAATCAGATTACAATGTAATATATTAGGCTAAATTAGCCAATAATCTTTGTTCATTACAGAATGTTTTTAAAATATAGAGAACCAAAAAAGAAGATGCCGGAATTTCTCTATGCAGAGAGAAATCTACATGCACAGAGAAGAAAATAGAACTATATAACAGTCTCATTTAATTTTGAACATCTTTCCATTTCAACAAATATAGGTTTATTTTGCTGTTTTAATGGACACATAGTTTCTCACTATATGAACTATAGTTTATTCAACCAGTCTCCTATTGTTAACCATGCTACAGCTTTCTTCTATGTCAAATTTCAGTGTTGCCTTTCTGAGCTATACCGTACTTTCCTTGGTTAGAATTCAACAGCCTCCTTTCTGATTTGAGGTAACTGCTTTCCCTGAGGTGACCTATACAGATGTGTATTTTCATCTATTCTGGTAGGATTTTTTTTTTAACCAACAAACTCTGTATCAACCCTTTCATCCATTGCTATAAAGAAAT